GGAAGCCTAACCACAGGGAAATGGAAGTCATAGTCTAGAGACATATGTTCTTGGCTCCCCCAGAAAACATACCCAAAATGTTTAACTTAATTTTTTTAACTATTTAAAGAACTATGAAATATAACACATATGTAGCATCAGTTGAAATCAACATGACTGTTGTATTTAACAAAGATAAAGTTTATTCATCACCTTACTGAGGATGATGGCCCAAGAGCAGTGGTTAGTGTGCTCTGATAAACTGCTCTAAAGCCCCTTTGTGTGGAAACCCCTTGAATACTTTCTTCATAGTAGGGATACCTGCAGAAAGAAGGTTACATTTACCAGAACATCAAGCAGTATGGCAAGGATATGTCTAGTGTTCTAAGAGATCATGCTATAGACATTCTCATGCTATCTGTGTGTGTGAGAGGAGGCATCCTTTGGGGATGGAGAGGGCATATGAGACATTATCTTATTGATGCTGACCAGAAAATTCCTGTCTGACTACATTTCGGGGGAGGTTGAAACTGCATATAAGTTAGGTATTAAGCTCTGGTTTGGTGACTTGGCCTAGCAGAAGTGACCCCATGTTGGACCTGCGTCTTTTCTTTAACAGTAGAAAAGTGATAAACTCTAAAGGTGTGTTTAATAAGTATCACCTGTGTGACTGTGAGCAAGATCAAGAAACCAACCACTACCAATACTCCAGAAGCTCCCATGTGTTCTGTCCCAATCCCAAGCCCCTTCCTCCCTTCAAAGGCTCCAATTTCCTGACTTTCTTGGTTGTCACCTCTTTACTTTTCTTAACACTTTTGCCACCTAATTGCTACCAGTATCTCTAAATGCTATAATGTAGTAATGCCTGGTTTTGAATTTTACATAAGGGGACTGGACTCATACTGTATCTGACATCTATCACTTGACATCATGTGGTTGCATGTAACTTGAGATTCATTTATTTTCATTGCTGTATGATAGTCCATTAGATACTATGTTGCAGCTCATTTATCCCTTCTGCTATTGATGAGAATGTTGGTAGTTTCTCTATTTTGGAAATAATGTTGCTATGGACATTCTTCTGTATGTTTCTTGGTGAACTTGTGCAGAAGGGTATATACATTAGGGTGAGATTGCTGGATTACATGTCATACATGTATTTTAATGTACCTAGATAATGCCATAATAATTGCATCATTTTATATTCCCAAAGGAAGTATATGAAAGTTAACATTGCTTCATATCATCACTTATATTTGTTATTAACAGACTTGTAACTTTTGCAAATTTGTTGGGAGTATGGTGTTATAAGATTAACTGCTCTTATCTTTCTTATAAATCATATATATGTAATATTAGTTAGACATAATTTTTATAAGTAAACAAACCAATAGAAAAAAATTAGAATAAAAATAAAGAAAAATAAAGATATTTTATTGACACCAGAATGAACATAAGGTGAAATAAGGCAGTGTGGCATTCAGTGTAATTCTTTTTCAAATAAACCCATTATTCCAACCCTATATTTGGGGATGAAGTAAGAATAGTGATAGTATGCCTGACACCTTATAATTTGTGCCTATCTTAGTAAATATAGTTAAATTGATGAAAAATAGTACACCAAGACCAATGTTAAATGCAATCTCCTCATTTATCTGAATTTATTTCCTAACTCTTTATTGTTTTCTATTAATCTATTTTGTGGTGATTCCATACTGTTTTAACCATTAGAGTTTTATAACTGTATTGCTATGTAGTAAGGCATGACATTTGTCTTTGGTTCAACTAACACTACAGCCATTTTCTCTTGCTGGATAATAATGCACTTTGGTTCTTTAAAAAACATAATAAAGTGGAAATTATACAATATTCAGACACAGACACTTATCAGATAATTTCACTTTCCCTCTATGTCTTATAAAATATAATGCCAGATAACCCATATGTTACCAGTCTGCCTCCAACGCTCTGCTGAATGTGAGATTCTTCTACCATCTGAGTCTGACCTACTTGAACCCTAGAACTGGTATTGCTTTCTCATGATGGGGTAGATCACATAAGGGTGGTTCACACTTGCAGCCAACTTCCCACAGGCATGACTGAACTTTGAGCTACAGGGAGTTTTCTCACCTATGAACATTGTATGTATCTTCATTTATTCAAAAATGCTTATCTCCAGGGATATCTTAAAAATTTCTTGTAGACAAGATATTTGTCTACAAGACAAATTTAGGTGTTTTGTACTTTTTGGATATTGTCAGCAAGATCTTGTCTTCTTTTACATACTTGTTATGTCTGCTATATAGAAAACTTATTTTTATTTCATCAATTTTTGGGGAGTGAGCTTATTGAAGATGCATGTAACTTGAGATTCATTTATTTTCATTGCTGTATGATAGTCCATTAGATACTATGTTGCAGCTCATTTATCCCTTCTGCTATTGATGAGAATGTTGGTAGTTTCTCTATTTTGGAAATAATGTTGCTATGGACATTCTTCTGTATGTTTCTTGGTGAACTTGTGCAGAAGGGTATATACATTAGGGTGAGATTGCTGGATTACATGTCATACATGTATTTTAATGTACCTAGATAATGCCATAATAATTGCATCATTTTATATTCCCAAAGGAAGTATATGAAAGTTAACATTGCTTCATATCATCACTTATATTTGTTATTAACAGACTTGTAACTTTTGCAAATTTGTTGGGAGTATGGTGTTATAAGATTAACTGCTCTTATCTTTCTTATAAATCATATATATGTAATATTAGTTAGACATAATTTTTATAAGTAAACAAACCAATAGAAAAAAATTAGAATAAAAATAAAGAAAAATAAAGATATTTTATTGACACCAGAATGAACATAAGGTGAAATAAGGCAGTGTGGCATTCAGTGTAATTCTTTTTCAAATAAACCCATTATTCCAACCCTATATTTGGGGATGAAGTAAGAATAGTGATAGTATGCCTGACACCTTATAATTTGTGCCTATCTTAGTAAATATAGTTAAATTGATGAAAAATAGTACACCAAGACCAATGTTAAATGCAATCTCCTCATTTATCTGAATTTATTTCCTAACTCTTTATTGTTTTCTATTAATCTATTTTGTGGTGATTCCATACTGTTTTAACCATTAGAGTTTTATAACTGTATTGCTATGTAGTAAGGCATGACATTTGTCTTTGGTTCAACTAACACTACAGCCATTTTCTCTTGCTGGATAATAATGCACTTTGGTTCTTTAAAAAACATAATAAAGTGGAAATTATACAATATTCAGACACAGACACTTATCAGATAATTTCACTTTCCCTCTATGTCTTATAAAATATAATGCCAGATAACCCATATGTTACCAGTCTGCCTCCAACGCTCTGCTGAATGTGAGATTCTTCTACCATCTGAGTCTGACCTACTTGAACCCTAGAACTGGTATTGCTTTCTCATGATGGGGTAGATCACATAAGGGTGGTTCACACTTGCAGCCAACTTCCCACAGGCATGACTGAACTTTGAGCTACAGGGAGTTTTCTCACCTATGAACATTGTATGTATCTTCATTTATTCAAAAATGCTTATCTCCAGGGATATCTTAAAAATTTCTTGTAGACAAGATATTCGTCTACAAGACAAATTTAGGTGTTTTGTACTTTTTGGATATTGTCAGCAAGATCTTGTCTTCTTTTACATACTTGTTATGTCTGCTATATAGAAAACTTATTTTTATTTCATCAATTTTTGGGGAGTGAGCTTATTGAAGAAATACATTCTGCTATAGCTGAATGTTTGTGTCCTCCCCAAATTCATATGTTTAAACCTAATCCCTAGTGTGACGGTATTTGGAGACTGGACCTTTGGGAGATTTGGTCATTAGGCCATAAAGGTAGAGCTCTCATGAACGAGATTAGTGACCCTATAAAAAAAGACCTCAGAGAGAGCCCTTGTCCCTTCTGCCACATGAGGACACAGTGCAAAGATGACCATTATGAATCAGGAAGCAGGCTCTCACCAGACACCAGCTTCCCAGCCTCCAGACTGTAAGAAATAAATGTTTGTTGTTTATAAGCCATCTAGTCCATGGTATTTTGTTATAGCAGCTCAGATGGATTAGGACACATACATACATAAAGATGCTCAAAACGTAAGTGGATAATTCAGCAAATATTCACAAATTTAATTCACCCCTTTAATCAACACCTAGAAACAGGACCCTCACTTTTGCCACTTACACCCATTAAGAATAATGACTATCATGACTTCTAACATCATAAAATAACTTTAATAACTTTTCCTGTTTAGAACTTACAGAATAGACTCATTCAGTATGACCTCTTTTGTATTTGACTTCTTGCATTCAACATGGCATGGGTAAAATTCTCTTCATATTGTTGCAAGTAATTGTACTAATTGCTATATAGTATTCTTTTTGCGAGTTTATCACACTTCAATTTTACTATTGATAGGCATTTGAGTAGTGTTCAGTTTAAAGCTATTCCAAACAGTGCTCTATGAACATTTTGTACATATGAATATGTGTATATATTTCTGTTAAGTGTATACCTAGACATGGAATGTCTGGGTGATAAGGTACACATGTATTCAGTATCATATTAGTAGATATTGCCAAACAGATTTCCAAAGTGGTTGAACTGATTTATATTCCCACCAGCAATGAATATGCTCCTTTTTTAAAAATTTTGTTATCATTAATCTACAATCACATGAAGAATGTTACGTTTACTAGGCTCCCCTTTCACCAAGTCCGCCCCCCACACTCCATTACAGTCACTGTCCATCAGCATAGTAAGATGCTGTAGAATCACTACTTGTCTTCACTGTGTTGCACAGCCCTCCCCATGCCCCCCCTACATGCTAATTATACATGCTAATTGTAATACCCCCTTTCTTTTTCCCTGCCCTTATCCCTCCCTTCCCACCCATCCTCCCTAACCCCTTTCCCTTTGGTAACTGTTAGTCCATTCTTGGGTTCTGTGATTCTGATGCTGTTTTGTTCCTTCATTTTTTCTTTATTCTTATACTCCACATATGAATGAAATCATTTGGTACTTGTCTTTCTCCGCCTGGCTTATTTCACTGGGAATGTGCTCCTTTTAAATCAAATGATAGAACATGGCCTACACTGCTGCTCCTATGGTCTAGATTGGGAGCACTGAGGGGAACACAAATGGATGACTGCTGGGTTTGGGTGGCATTTCCCTCCTCTCATGTCCCAGCAACTTGGGCAGCCCTTTGCTCACCTTCCAAGAACCCAATACTTCCCCCAGGGATATTGTAGTTGGGGAAAATGTAGTTAGTGACTCTCTGGGGAGCCACTCTCCTCTCAAAGTTAGAAAACTACCTTCCTAATCATGTCCTTCAACTTGATACACCGCTTACACTGTTTCAGAACTTTGGACAAAAGCTGGTCTGAATAGTACACTATTATGGAAATCTTTACAAATCTAGTACAGTTTGGGCAGAAATTCTTCCAGATCACTGTCAATCACAGTAAGGCAACATGCCTAAGGTTCTTCAGTTGGTTTTCAAAGCTTCTCTGCATCTTTCAGGGTAGTAATAAAAATTTGCCCTTTTAAAGTAATGATATCTTTGTTATGAAAAGCTTTTAATGAAAGTTCCCCAGAGTTATTAAAGCCTTCTGAGGGAATAGTGACTGCCACCCATAAATGCAGCTACTCATAAAAACCCTATACATTTTTTAATCTAAAGGATTTCTCTCTTCAGTTTCCAAATTGCAATCTACATTACGTTTATAAACAAGTGCCATTAAGCTGGTCTCTACCTGTAGTACTACTGAGAATAAGCCATTGTAATATTACCATGGTGAAATCATTAGAATCCTATTCATTTCTAAGCCTTACACTATTTGTCATCTTCCCAAGCAGCCCTGTTTTTAAGCGAGCACACCCTATTACTCTCCTCTTGTCCTGGGTTTGCTTGTTTCTTCTTGGAGAAACTCAGGACAGAGAGCCCAAATATGTGGGTCTACAAATATTGGACTACAGTAATGGGGACTACACTACCCAGTTGCAACTATGCATTGCTTTTATTTTCTGTAAAATAAAGGAAAACAAATCCAGCCACTTGTTCTAGGAGATAAAATTTCTGTTTCATTGTGATCTTAGATTCCTCTCTACTAAGTTTCCAGGCAAGAGGCAGACAGGCCAACCAAACACATGGCAAATATTGGGATCCACAAGCTGAATGATGGTAAAGAGATGAGTTAGCTCTGTTGAGCACATATAGGGATGTCTCATGCAGCAGGCAGATCCCAGAATAATAATTAGAAGTAACCGCTAGAAGAAGAAAGAGACAATGGAATTAGATTTTGTCCTGACATAATATATTCTGACCAAGGTTTATATATGCATTTTCTATAAGAAGTCTGTTTTGGGGACCTTTTGAGTAATCAATTGGTGGCATCTGGGTTGTTGCAACACTCCACAGGGATTTTATTCCAAGCCTATTCATATGGGCTGGTAGTCCTATTATGCATTTGCTATAAAAAGTTTGTTTTGGGGACCTTTTGATTAACCAATTGGTGGCATCTGGGTTGTTGCAACACTCCACAGGGATTTTATTCCAAGCCTGTTCATATGGGCTGGTAGTCCTATTCTGTTGAGCAGCACAAACATGCAAAACCTAGCAGCATCTTAAGTCAAGCACAATCCTTGGCACATAGTGGAAACTTAACAAATATTTATTGAATTAATGAGTGACTGAGTGACTGAGCAACACAGTGGGTTTGGGTCTCCCCCGAAGATCTAGTCTTCAGTTTGCTCTTGCAAGACTGAAGGAAGTCAAATTCATAATTCTCTGAGAGGTTTTCACTCCCTTTCCCTAGCTGTTCAGTGCAAGCCAGAAAGTTACAACTCCTGTGCTGGTCAAATGGGATCAGAGCCAACAGGATCTCACAGAGCTGCTCTGATGGGGGGAGCTCTACTCAGGCTGTGGAAGTTCCAAAGTCAGGGGAAGAGGTCAAGCTCAGAGTTGGGGTAGGAAGAACTTCTGGATTACTTTCCAGAAAGAGGAATCAAAATAGGTGCCCACACCTTGGGTCAGGAGGGGATGGAAAAAATCAGGGAAAAGATCAAGAAAAGATAGGGATCAGAATATCGGAGTCATGAAGGGGCAGAACTTGGGGAGTGAGTGGAGGTCATGTAATATTACCTAGATTCTTTACGTGCCTGGAGGGGCTCCCAGGCCTGGCAGACTAAGGACAAGGCAGACAGTGACTGCAGACTTAGTCTACTCAGCACCTGGCTTTTTGGATGGAGAACCTGGGCTCTCTGTCTATAGCTCAGTGGAACGGATTTGATGGGCTTCTAGGTCTAGAACCAAGACATGGAAAATAACCTGTACCTCATTTCTTCATGAGGGCTTCAGGTAAAGGACTTGAGGTAAGTGAAAGTGGAAGGATGAATGGAATGAGTTTTTGGTGCCTAAGATGACTTGGTAACAACAAAGACTTATAGCTCAGATCTTTTTCCTCAAGCTTCAAAAGTCAACATTTCTTATTTCTCAAGAGGAAAAGACAATGAAAATGACCTGTCCAGTGGTTTTCCTGAATAAATTCACTACTTGGAAACTAATGACTATTTCTGATTAAGTCTTCTGACTTTTAATTCTGCGAGGCTCAATTTATCCCATGCAAATCTGCCTGTTAAACTACTCTGAATCCCAACCACAATAGATCATATCATGCCATATCCCATATCATATCACATCACATTATGTCACGTCATATCGGGGATTCTAGTAATTGTTTAGTGGAAATGCTAATTACTTAGAAAATAATCATGATGCTCATAAGGAATCATCTTGAGGAAAAAGGAAAATACCTCAAGAATTGGCAAGAAATAAGCTGTCCTTCCACCTTTTGGTGGAAAAAATCCTGGCTTGGGACATGCCCGGATGCAAGGGAACGTGTCTCTTCCTCTGTGTGCATCGGGCCCTCTCCCTTCAGTCCCTGGAGGCACCACAGCCACACTAACAGCATCTCCAGCTCCCACAGGTGGTCCCCCTCCAGGGCCTTAGGGTTTTGTGAGCCAGGTGGCAGGACTAACTCAGCATCTATCTGTGAGATGTCTCTAGGGGAAGAGTAGCTTCCAAATTCCATCTTCTTTTGCCTTGCTATGCATTGCACCAGAGCCAGTGAGAAGATGAAACTGCCTGGCTATGTTTGACTCCAAAATTCTCTAGATTTCTTCAGATCTGTGAACAGATTGAGAAACTCCATTTGTTTAATTGATTTACATCCCCAACTACATTCTGCCTTGTTAATTTCCCTGTTGATAATGTTACACTTTGCAGACACACCTTTGGGTTTTTTTTTCCTAGACCTGTTCTTTTTCTTCTTCTCTTTATGTAAAGGGTATGTGCTGGCTTTGTGAAATCCCTCTAGCAAGTTGTGAATGATGTATGAAGTGAAGTCTTTACTCAGAACACAGTAGGAAGACAAAGTGATGTGCATTCACTGCATGGCTGAGTGTTTGACTATGTACTTGAGTCACAGAAATCCCACATTCATCCTATACAGCCTCAACATCTTAGGAGATCTCTCCAGGTGGCAAGGGGCACAGTCCTACAGAAAGGCAGAGAGAGAATTCACTGGCCTCCGAAAGTCCTCCTTGACACTGTGATTCTGCATTACTACAGGAAGGAGTTCTTTCCTGAATTTTAACAAAGGAACAAGAATAGGAATCCAGAGCCTGAGTATAGAAAATTAACCCATTCTTGTCCTATGATATGGAAAGATGGAGTAAAGAGGTGGGTGATTGTCAAAGCTTTGCAAGCTAATATTACTTGGAGAGAATATGTCTCTTCACCCTAGTTTGAGAGAGAACATTGGTATGCCCTAAGGAGCCAGGAAGAGAGCGAGCCTTGTGATTTATGCAGTATTTTCTTTTCAAGGAATGAGAACTCCTTGAGAATTATCATAGTTTCCCTGTGAGCTGAGTTCCACATTGGTGGATAATCTAAGATTTTCCCATGTTTCAAAACTAGATACCTAATCATCCAACAAATAGATTATGCAATCAGTTTGACATTATTCAGTGTTCATTTATGGGTTCATGGATTAACTGTGCTCAGGTGCAGCAGGGATGTGGGGCACACAGCCATGGAAGAGGGGAGCTGAACAATTAGGCACTGGCTAACTATTGCTCATGGTAACTTCCTCAGAAATGAGCACAGGTGGTTAGCAGAGCAGCTCTAGCTGCAAGGGGTGGAAACAGTAGTGACAGCGTCCTCCTATCACTCAGCTTCTTTCTTATTTCTTTCTCCCAACCCAGAAGCCTCAAGCCTCTCGTCCTCTCTTTTGGGTGGGGGTAGAAGAACTAAGCAACTATTTCTTCATTTTTTATGCTTGACTTTTTGTTTTCCATGACTGCCCTCCCACTCCTACCCCAATCTCACTTACCCAGTCCAATGAGAGTTGATTTCTTTACCTCTCTTGTCCCAGAGGATGGGCAATTACTATCCAACCTGGTACACCAACATTCAAATAGTATCACTGGTTTTCCAATTTCATCTTTTCCTTGATTCCTCAGGCATTTATGATTTGGCTTTAGACAGTCCATTCAAAGTCAGATGATCTTTAAATGTATAACTGAAGAAAGAACAAACCGATGGCCTGCCATAGTCTCAGCCTTCTATTTGAATGACCTTTTCCTATGTCTTCATTTGCAACGTGGAGTGTAGCAAACCTAAGGGAGACAGTGAGAAGCAAGAGGCCTTAAATTAAGCTAGGTTAAAGAACCTGTGGGTCCTTTAATTCTGAAGAGAAGAAAACAGAAACATAACAATAGTTTTCAAGTACAAGAAAACAGATTTCAGAGAGTATGGGAGCAATTATGTTGAAATCATTCTGGGAAGAAGGAATGAGCTCAATGCCCAACTGGGGAGATTTGTGTGAGAGTCATAAATGCACTTATCTAACTCTTATCAGTTCCTGCTTTTGAAAGGAAAGGTTTCATTTTGTTCCTTAAATCAGTTATTTCAGAGTACTTAAAATAACAGAAAATTCTCTGAAAGAGAGAATACCTTGCAGAATAGTTGAGGTAGAATCTTTTGAGGACTTTGAGGAATAATATTGTTCCTTGATAGTGAACAGGGTTAGAACAGAGAGCAGATGGACCACATGGGTGGACCTAGAGGGTGTTAAGCTAAGTGAAATAAGTCAGACAGAGAAAGGCAAATCCTAATGATTTCACTTATATGTGGAATCTGCAAAACAAAACAAAAGAATCAACAAACAAAACAAAAATGGACTCATTAACACAGAGAACAGACAGGCTTAGGGGGATGGGTTAAATAGGCAAACAGAAAAAAGAATTAAGAATGTTTGATGTCTTCATCAGGGCAATGATTATGTGAGTGTATATACATGTCAAAATTCACTGAGCTGTACATTAAGTTTTGTGCATTTTATTTTATTTACCTCAGTTAAAAAGAAGGAAAAATGTCAATGTTAAAAAATAATAAAATAAAGGAAAAATTTTTGAAGTTGAAAATAAAAGAATAGATATTACTTATAAGTCCAGAGAGTTTGGTGAGTCTATTTTGTGGAAATAGGTATCCCTATTGCTGTGTGATTTTCTGTGTTGGGGAAAATTGATATTATGATGTCAGGTTCCCATCTCATAATTTTTCTTGTCCCCGGCCATTTGCCCTTATATCCTTTTCAAATATAACTTAGTGCCTGCAAGCTTCTTGCATATGCCTCTGGAATTCTATTTCATATTTTCTCCTTCTCTCTCTCTTGATGACTTATGTATCCATTGCCTGCCAACATTCCACCATCAAATGTCTAAACCAAAATGGTGAAAAGAAGGAGGGGGTGATAGTAGAGGGTGGGGCCTACCATTTAAATTAGAACAATCCCTTTTATCTCCAAGGGGAAGATCCAACCTTAGGTCTCCTGTTTGCCCAGGAATATATTTTCCTATTGAGACTTTTGTCTTATTTTAAGTAACCTTAAAATAACTGGTTCAAGGAATAAAATGAAACCTCTCTGTATCAAAGGCAAGAGCCTTAAGCAAAGGCGGTAATGAACCCTGAGACACTTAGGTTTGTCTGAACTCCAAATTCAGCAGGGTTCTGTCACACAGCATATCCAGATAATCTGAATGTGATTTTACAAAAGTGACTGTGAGCTCTGGGTCCATTATGAGTATATTAAACTGTTGCAAAACAAAATATTTTTCTCTCTAGTCATAAAAATCAAACAGAATCCCAGATGCAAATTTACCCCATCTCTTCAAACACATCATTTCCAACAACTAGACAATGCCTGAGGAAGTAGTTGGAGGCAACTTGGCCTTAGGAAGAGTCAGCTCTTGATGGCAGAGATAGGCCTGTCTTAATGCCACTGCCTGGGCTCATCGATGACAGCACGGGCACCGAATTTCACATTTATTTCTAGCATCATTCTGGAGACATTCGATGCAGAAGCCATATCCTCCAAAGAGTGACACTTGATGGAAACCCAACCTGTTCCGCCTCCCGCACGGAGAGATTGCACTAGTCAGTGACTCGGAACATTGCCGAATGTTCCTGCGAGCTGTACACTGGCCTTCAGTGATTTCTTACAGATATTTACTTTCCCACATGGCATATAGAACATTAAAAGGGTTTTGAAAAATCCCTCCGTTTTTTTAACTTCTGAAGGATTATTAACTTCAAAGTCTGAAGAAATGTCGCCCTTCTATCTTTGGAAATGCCAGGAGCCTTTGCATATCCCTACCACGGCACCAAGCAACCCCCAGCAGAGAAGAACGATTACTGCCTCAGTGGCGAGAGGATGGCTTTTGATCTCTTAACATATTGGAAATTACTTAAAGGTAAGCCATCTGCTAGCTGAGGAACAAAGACAGATTACATCACACCCTGCTAGAAAGATTGTGTTAAATCCTGAATATCAAGGCTTTTAATAATTCTATATTAAGTCAGCTAATAGGATTAGGTACACATTTTCTTTAGGCTTATTTCCTCAACTATTAAAAAAAACTTTTTTGTGTGTGTTTGACAATCTGCAAAATTCAAGAGTATTCCACTGTGAATAAAAAGGGTTCTTTCAAGAGCAAGCGTTTCTTCATATCACCACTGTTCTCCAAAGAGGTGTGCAGCAGAAGTGCCTTTCCAGGAACAGTTTGTGAGGGGAATGGAAACCACTGCTCTTCTGTTGTTGTTAGTATGATTTATTGCCTGTGCATTACAAACCTGCCCACAGGAGTTTCATACCTTCACTGTGCTGTTCACCCAGTCAAGGCGGTATCCAGGCAGGTGTCGGAGGTGAGGATGCCAAGTCCCCTCAAGAATAGCAATTAATGGTAACCACAATCGACACAATGGTAAACACGATTGAGGATGGTGTGGCACAAGTTTTGAGGGTGATAAAGGAATAAGCCTTCATTAATAATAGCTTAAAGCATCTGCAAAACTGGGCAGTTCCAGCCTTGAGAAAGTTTGCACTCTAGAATTACATAATGCAAGAAAGTTGCATTCTGAAATTACATCATGGGCAAACCAAACATACTGTCCTTTCTGTCTGTGATAAGCTCTGGGTCATGGGAATATTAGGCTATATTCACTTGATAACATGCAGGGAATAAAAAGAAAGGGCTTTCTTTATGCTTTGCTCCTTCTTGCACCAATTTGTTCAGGGTTATTCTACAAGCACACAGCCCTGAATACACACATGCTATAATTTAACCTCCACTTGTTGCTCCTAAATCTTTTATAAGAGGTTCATTTACTCACTCTGGGATACTGAGGGTTGAATAAGGTTTTAGCAGTGATAGAAACAAACATTTTTATCTCTCAAAGGTCCTTGAAGAAGTTCTTTAAAAAAAAAGGTCTCAGTTCTTTTGAGATAATTAATTCTTATCTTGGTGACAAATAATCATTTACAGCCAGATAAAATGTAGGATTCAAAATATTTAAAACCAACATGACGTGTTGCATATTAAAAGCACTTTGAGTAGTTTTTTTTATTAAATTACATTTTCAAGGAATTACTTAAAATAACCACCATGGTTTTGCCTTAATTATTGAATGATATAGAATAAAATGAACTTAATTTTGCTTTTGTGCAAAGGAGAAAGGAAACCATAAAATCAGTAGCCAAACATTTATTTGTTGTATGTTATCCTGATAAAAATGATCCAAGCTTTCTTTGTGTGCTCTTTACAAACATAATAACACAATAATAAATCTAATAATAGCTACCATATATTGTGACATTTTATTTTTTAGCACCTAGAAAAAAATTGCTGCTAGTCCTCACAGTGTTTTTGAGAGGTGGATATGCTTACTCCCCATTTACTGGTGAGAAAACTGAAATTTGAAGTGATTTAACAGCACCTGCGGTGAATGGAAGAGTGAAGATTCAAACTAAGGTCTGATACCAAAGCCCATGTCCCTTCTGTCACTCCTGGCTGCCCCCAAACTGATAGGATCCAAGAGGTCAGGTATGGCTTTTCACTCGGTTACTTGGCTCAGCTTTCTTTGTGTCCATTCTTTGAATGAGTGGACTGAATGATGCCATTTCCTTTGAGATGCTCAGAATTCAGTCAAGGATCTCACCTTAAGCTCCTCTAGCTCAGTCCCCAATCTGCTTCTCCAGGATATTGCAGTTTCTTCCATGAGTTAGTGTGAGGTAGCCAAAATGAAATAGTGGAAGTCTTTTCCCAGGTCACCTAATTTCTCTTCCATTAGCCATCAACTTCAAGTTCTCAACTTTACATTTTTCTCTCACATTTAAAAAAACGTACATTATCTCACTTGTTTGCTAGCAAATCCTAGTGGGAGACCAAACAATGTCCAATAAAAACCCCAAATAAGAGAAAAACTCAGGAATGTAAAAAAAATATATATCTCATGCATTACTGATTTTTGAAATGGGGAAACCTATATGTAATAACACAATTATATTATCTGCTAGTTGAATTATCCCAAGCTAAAAGGAAATTAAATATGTAATAGGACTCAAATATCCATTAAATACAAAATGTATTTGTATTGTTAGAGTAGTACTAGTTGTAATAAACAAACCACCAAATTTGAGTGTCTTAACTTTATTTCTTCCTCATACAATAGTACAATGTGGGATTCCTGGGATGGTGGCCTTCTATGTAATCATCTAGGTTTATAGTTTCCTTCCATGTTATAGCTCTGCTATCTTTAGCATGTATGTGGCTTTATCATCACCTGGCTCATCTGCATTAAGATGGAGAAAAGGGGAGGAAGCATAGTGAAAAGCTCCAGGTAGATGCCTGTGGACCAGGAGAGATTGGTGCCCATTACCTCCACTTATTTTCCTTTGGCTAAAACTCAATTACATGGCCACAACTAACTACAAGGGAAGCTGGGAAATGTAGTCTAATTATGTAGTAACTAACTATGAACTCAAGAAGAAGAAAAAATAGGCTTGGTGATAAACTGGCAGTCTTTTCCATGGTTCTCTGAAATGATAATTATCTTGAGGATCAAAATTTAGACCCATAATTTTTTTTTCAGATTGAAATACCTGCCCTGACCACCACTGTATTAGACTGCTAAAAATTAGAGGAATTACTATTAAGTATAATGCTACTCTGATTTGATGAATACTAAGAAAGCAGGAAAACTCCTTCTAGCAATGCAATTTATTCTTATATTAATTCTTCTTATTTTTCTCAGTTCTAGCATTTAGTACAACTCTAGTACCTAGAACTCACAAACACATGCATCTCCAGTGAATGAATGGCCCTCTAGGATGGACTTTGCACCTTTCACATCACTTCAGAGATTCCGGCCCATATATCATAGAAAATCAACTCTCTTTTTATTGTTGTTATTGATATAACCATGCTCTGTGTTAGTGGTCTTAATCGTATTTACTCACCACTCTACAACACGGCTTCTCGTAACCTGAAGGATTTTATTAAACTCTGCCTTGCTTATTTAGACTCCTGGGAGTGAATGAGCAGCCACTTTGTATAATAGAAAGAGGAGAGAGGAGCCTAGATTGGTTAAGTATCTCAACCTTCATCCTTCATTTTAGGTAAGTTACTTATTACCTCTTGTGGGGTAAATGGCAGAATTTCCAGAAACTCCCACCTAGCCTTAATTCATTTACATATCAACAGGTGTTTATCACTGCAGAGCCTCCTATGGATGGCCATTCTCTCCTCCCCTCTGCTCCTGCTATGTGATTGGTCTGGCATATGCCAGTCACCAAGGACCGTCCCATGAAGTTCCTTACAGAAGGGGCGGGTGGGGGAGGAGAGCGTGAGCCACAGCCAGAGGAGCTGGATGGAGGTGGGCCTGGCTAGCAACTGTAAGAAATAAAAGCCTTTCTCTCAAAGTACCCTTTCTCTTGACTAATTTCGGTTTCAGCAGATTCATAGGGTCTCACCCCTGGCCAGGAACACCCTTCCCTCTGGAGCTACATCTCTGAGCCTCAGTTTCTTGATGTAGAAAGTGAGAATAATACCATCTACTCTCCAGAGTTGTAAATGCAGCAATTTATATATAAAAAAATCAGAATATAATAAGCTGAATAAATGGTAGTTACTGTCATCTTCATTAATAATGATTGATTGTTTATAATGTTAGCATTCATAATAAAAATTATAAACATCATGCTGTTTTGTTTCCTAGTGTAAGTGTTACATAAGCAAACCTAACATCAGAGGCAATACTATAATAGAATTCTAAATAGAACACAAGTTTTCTAGTCTTCTACTGTCATCTGATACCCTGGTGAGCAGATACAACCCTGGGAACAGGTGACCATCCATCAGAGGCCATATCAGCTAAAAGTTCAAGCTGCCATTTTCACTTCTTTGCACTGAATTGAGTCAATTTGCTTTCAGCTTCCGCAGTGTAAACAAACAGTAAATCAATGAAACTCTTATGACTCAGTCTCATACAGCCTTTTAAAGGATCTTATTTCAATACCTACCAGCAGGTATGGAATATTAGAATAATGTCCTGGAATTCCACTGCTGTCTTGAATTAGCAGCCTTGGCTCAGAAATGACATATTTTTATATCAAAATAGCAGAAACCTTTCTTTTGTCTCTTTACTGATGCATAACATTCTAAAAGACAGGAATGGCCTTCAGCTAATACAGATCAATTTCCATTCAGCTTCACTCACCATTTAATTACTGCTGACTTCTTTAACCTTTCCTACTTCCTTTATGGATTTTATTTCTTTCCACTCTGCTGCCATTTAGTTTATTTAGTGACATATTCAAACTTAAAATTATATGATAAGGTTTCACATTTTTTTCTCTCATGTTTTTATTGAGTTAAATTTATTTAGTAACAAATCACTTCCTGAAGGAGAAAAAAAGATTATTGAACTGACTTTTTATTTTATCTCTATATGCACTTCTTAGACCTTGATTTATTAAAAGAACACTCTCTGATTTCCTATATCACATGGTTCAGAATGATTGAACCCTGCCACTCCCTTAAACATTCCTGCAATATTTGCCAGTATAGAAATGCACTGTATAGTAAATCACATATTAAGGAGAAAAACTAAACCTTAAAGTGAAAACCAACTATGAATAGCACAAAGGGGATTATCAGTGATATAAAAGAAGGGATTGTCTTCTTTCTGAGCACTTACTTTTGTCACCACTGGTGTAGGCATTAAAGTCTAGAGGAGAGAACTTGAGTTTTGGAGTTAGACACCTTCCGGGTCAAAACCTGGCTCTGCTACTCATAAGCTGTATGTCCTTTGGAAGATCCTCAGCTTATCTGAAACTATCTCCTTATTTGGAAAACAGAAATAATTATTCTACCTCTTAAGATCATTGCGATGACTAAATAAAATGAGATGTGTGAACTGCCTGGCAACTACACTCTCCCAGCACATGAGTACATTTGAACCTACCTGTGGGACAGCAGCCTGAGAAAAAAGGGATCCTGAGGCAAAGCCTCCCTTGTACTCTTTTCCCAGCTCCCAGGGAGCTGGGATGAGGAGCAGGGGAGCCAAGCAGGGGAGGAGGGCGAGCCAATGTGGGCTGCCACTAAGGTGATCTTCCTGGTTCTGGACATGCTCCTCCCTGGCTGTAGTTTGTGGCGGCAGCTGCAGCTCCATATGGTAATCAGGGTTGATTACAACTGCCTGCACAATAACTCCCTCCTTTTCCTGCTGGTTCACTGGCATGAAGAGTCCACCATGTGGTAGTTAAAGGTTCAAGTTCAGTGGAATCCCTTTTGTGTACCTGGTGGAAGTGCCCTCCCCCTTCTCCACCTCACAGTGGAAACCAGGACCTTGAGTTTGGGAGGACAGAAAGTACAAATTTCACAAGTGAACTGCTGTCCCCATGATGTGAATGTAAGCTGCCTTTGATCCTTCCTCTTTATTGGCATTGAGAAGGGTACATTCACCAGGTTGTCTCACGCCTGGTACCAGAGCCCTTTCAGTCTGCTGGTAGAAGGTAACTTCTGGCATAGCAGGTGTGACTTGGGCCACCACTCAGTTAAAGGTACCATAGTTCTATGTCATCCTTCATGAGCCCTCAGGATTTTTCAGGGCCATACAGGTGAACTGAACCAGGAATATTATGGATCCACCACATTTGTATCCTCTGAGGCCGACAGTGGCACCATGCTCTGTAGTTCCATCTGGCATGCGGTGCTGCTTCTGATTTACAGTCTTGCCAGGGACAGAGGCAGTTTCAGAAGCTTCTACTTGGCCTTTCCTGACATAAAGCCATTACACCACAGATCTGGGAACGAGAGTGAGGGTTCTGTCTGCTGATGCATTTATGTAGCCCAATGATACAGAGTATGAGAAATAATCAAGATAGGTCTGTGAATAGTTGGGACCAACTGTGAGACAAACTTGGGCCAAAATTTCATTATCACAGTGCTCAGAAGAGCTTCCACTCTAACTGGAGCTCCCTGATGGCACTTCAGCTCCCTTGGTATCATTTCAGCCCTGACTCCTTACCTACCAGACTTAAAAGGCCTGGGGTCTTCTCCTTTCAACAGTGCATAGTTAGTCTGATAAATGGCCACAGGAACATTGGAGGAAGAATCAGAGGGACATTTTCTGTGTATACTTGTGGTGACATTGAAATGTCCTTCTTCAAGGGATCCTAGCCTCCCTGTTAATCACTGGACTCTAGGTCTTTGAATTGATTAAGGTCCAGAAACTGGGTGAAGAGCTGTTTTCTACCATGGTAGCTGACATTAGTATCCTCTTTACCAGGCCTCAAGACACATCTCAGCAGATTTTTAGACTGGCTCCAGAGGTTCTTTGTAGGGTATTGAATCCCAGTCATGGATGGGTGCCCTTATCAGCAAATTTACCTCTGTCCTTATATTCTGACTTCCTCACTCAAGCTCAAGAACCTCAAACTTCATTCTCACATGTGTAGCCCCTAGTCTTACCAGATCATATTAGCAAATTCCTGCAAATCCTCTGGGATGTAAGCTGTTTCCTCCAGGATAAGTACTTGGGCTAGGCTAGATTTCACCTTGGTCAACAGTTTAGAGGCTAGAAGGGATGCTTGTGTATCTCAAGGAGAAAAGTTATCATTTTATGAGGCACCTCCCCTGGAAGAAGTACCTGAACTTCTAGGCAAGCAGCCACTTCTGTCATCTGGGAAGGCTCCTGGAGGATTAGTGCATTCAAGGTTCTCAACCTGGTTCATCCAAATGTTCTCATTCACTCTTTTCCTGCCAAGGTCTTGACTTTGTTAATTCTATGTGAAGAAAACTAAAGCTTAGAGAGGCGGTGCATTATACAGTTAATATAGCAAGTAAGTGGCAGATCTGGAGTCATAATCTAAATTAATTATCAAAAAAATACTTTTTTGTGTGCACTGTGTAGCAAATTTATCTTTTCTCCCCTGTTGAAATTCTCTTTCTTGTGATATTTGTCTTTGTAAACCACTCATACATCAAAATGAATCAGGAAGGTAGGGCTCTAAAATAAGTTAACTTTAAAACACTTTCAGTGGTATTCTGTCTTCAATCTAATGCTCCTCAGTTTTTTTGTGCTTGCTTATTTTCAGTGTAGAAGAGAGTTGAGTAGAGGTAACAAATGGGGTTGGTCAGACAAATGGCATCAACACAGAACTGTCTGTGCGGCACCAGGCCCTCTTCTGCTCTTCAGATTCAGTTCACCCTTTCTGGTCATTGCCAAAGTTGTCTTCCAGAAACAGACTATGCCATCTATCCCTGTATTTTCCTCAGCCTCTAGGTAGTTTCCTAGATAAAGCAGATGTTTCATATAACTTTGGTGAAGGAATACATAAAAAGTCTCTCCTCAAACACATGAGAGAGCATTCTTTTCCTTCCCCTCAGGAGTAAGGCTTGCTTTGCAGGCCATATATTTCATAAAATGTCCTTCACTAAATGGAGCAATTTTCAAATGAGTTGAGTCACCTCAGACATTTGGGAGATAATTAGGGAGGATTTTGTGCAAGAGGATTATTATTAAATCCTCCTGTGGGTTTCATGACATTTCAAGCTTCTTTTGAAAATATCCAATACATACACTGTGGTACAAGGCAGCGAAGGAAATATGAAGATTCAAATGCCTTTTGTCTCTCAGCCCTGATAGTTTTGTGGCAGCAGTACAGGTATGCTCTAAAGGGAATGTGTCATTGACCTGGGCCTGGGGATGTGAGGCTCCTGTCACTGGCCAGTTCTTGCTGGGGTGACTTGTGACCATTTCTACAGTGTGTGTGTCCTTCATGGTTAGTGAGCCCTTGGACTGAACCACAGGGAACCTCCACTGTGCTCCTGCCTGACTCCACTACAGTGAGCAGTGCTGAGCAGAGGGGAGTGGGAGTCTTGAGTAGGTGGCCAGGGTTGAGTTGCAGTGAGATACTTGTTTCACCAGAACCTCTGCTGTTGTTTTACTTTTCAGTTTGTTGGTAGATGTTTTCCAAGACTTCCTGTCTACAATGGAGAACATTCAAACCTGGTAGGAACTAATCTATTTTTCCTAATCCATTCTGCTTATTGCTCTTATACTTTGTGTGATGATGGACTTGTTATTTATCATCTCCAGGCCTTAGTTTCCTATCTATCAAATGCGTTAGAGGGGGCTCAAGATGGCAGCATGAGTAGGGCAGTGGAAATCTCCTCCCAAGACCATATATATTTTTGAAAAAACAACAAATACAACTATTCCTAAAAGAGATATCAGAAGATACAGTACAACAGCCACTCTACATCTATATCTGTAAGAACTCAGCATCTCACGAAAAGGGTAACATACAAAGTCGTGATCTGGCAGGACATGAGAACTCCCCCCAACCCAGCTCACCAGTGGGAGGAAAAGAATCAGACTGGGGAGGGAGTGGAAGCACAGGACTGCTAAATAACCAGCCCTAATAATCTGCACTGGGAGCACAGACACACATTGCATGGTGTACTGGATATTAGAGAAATGGAAAAGTAAAATCTGAGATGGACATTGCGAGTGGGTCGCCACAGCTGGCTCCCCTGGGACAAAAAAGCAGATGCTTTACAAAAGTCTTAAAGGGACAAGGGCTCAAAAGCTGAACAAAATGGTCCCAGAACACTCAGCCCAGCAGGCAGGGAATCTTCAGGAATTTCAGGCTCCCTAACCCCCTGGGGGATAACACAGTCCCGGAGCACCTCAGGGCGATAAGCAGCCTGCCATTCATTCCCCCCAGCCAGCACTACAAGCAAACTGACTGTCTCACCAGAGCTGCGGAGCAGCCGGAGAACAGACCCACCCATAGCAACCACACAGAGTCTCCTCCCAGTGCACAGCTAATCAGGACAGACAGAGGAAGCCAGAGCAAGGTCCAGAAGGCACGAAGGGGTGCTTTTCTCACAGGAGAACACACCTGGCATGTCAGCACCCCCCCACAGTGTGCTAGGCTATCCTGAGGGCTGCCCCACCCATGGCAGCTCAGGAGATCATCCCAGAGACTGCTCTCAGTGTGCAGGTAGACAGCACATGCAGCGGAGAAGGGCAAGGAGACCAATAACCAGGAAGGGACTTTGTTCTCTCAGTCAACACACACGTCACCTGCCTGCAAACACTTGTATAACAATGAAAAGGCAGATGAATCTGGTCCTGTCAAAATCACTCAGACAACCCCAGAGAGAGGACCCAGTGAACCCCCCCCCCACAGTGTGCTAGGCTATCCTGAGGGCTGCCCCACCCATGGCAGCTCAGGAGATCATCCCAGAGACTGCTCTCAGTGTGCAGGTAGACAGCACATGCAGCGGAGAAGGGCAAGGAGACCAATAACCAGGAAGGGACTTTGTTCTCTCAGTCAACACACACGTCACCTGCCTGCAAACACTTGTATAACAATGAAAAGGCAGATGAATCTGGTCCTGTCAAAATCACTCAGACAACCCCAGAGAGAGGACCCAGTGAGATAGATATAACCAATATTCCTGAAAAATAATTCAAAATAGAAGTCATAACCATGCTGATGGACCTGCAGAGAAATATGCAAGAGCTAAGGGATGAAGTCCAGAGGGAGATAATAGAAATGAAACAATCATGAGAAGGTCTTAAGAGCAGAAGGGATGAGGTGTAAGAGACTATCAATGGAATAGAAATCAGAGAACAGGAATACAGAGAAGCTGATTCAGAGAGAGATAAAAGGATGTCTAGGAATGAAAGAATATTAAGAGAACTGTGAGACCAATCCAAACAAAATAATATTTGCATTATAGAGGTACCAGAAGACAAAGAGAGAGAAAAAGGGATAGAAAGTGTCTTTGAAGAAATAATTGCTGAGAAATTCCCCAAGATGGGGAAGGAAATAGTCTCTCAGACCATAGAAGCCCAAAGATCTCCCAAAGCAAGGGACCCAAGGACGACAACACTAAGACATATAATAATTAAAATGACAAAGATCAAAGACAAGGACAGAGAATTAAAGGTAAGCAAAGGCAGCCAGAAAAAAAAATTACCTACAAAAGAAAACCCATCAGGCTATCATCAGACTTTCAACAGAAACATTAGAGACCAGAAGAGAATGGCACGATATATTTTATGCAATGAAACAGAAGGGCCTCAAACCAAGAATGCTGTATTCAGCATGATTATCATTTAAATTTGAAGGAGGGAGTAAATAATCTCCAGACAAGCAAAAGATGA